CGCGTTACGTCCATGCATTGAATAGCGAATTAAATTCTGCTTGCTTCACAAATTTACCCTTCCGCGGTTTATCTGCATCAGACACCTGTCATCCATAGTATTCACTTTGCCTATGCGCGTTACACGCCACGCATTCCACGTGTGAAATGTCGATAATGAGGTTTCGTGTTGACGAAAGGAAAGATCGAATGCTGTGCATCTCGTATATCATGTATAAATGATATTATGTTTCAATAAGAAACGATATTATTTATAATGATATTTTTTTAGAATTGTTAAAAAAAATGATTTCTATCGTATTTTTTTATGAAAGAGGATGATTTGGAATAATATTCTTCAGAATTATTTAAAAAAAAATTATAATGAAATTGTAAAAGAGAGAAGAAAGGAAATTTTTCAATTTGGATTTGTTAGTGAAGTCATTAGTAACGCCATCTAGTAGAACCATTCCTTAAACACCGATATAAAGTTTAAGTCGGAGAATTTAATGATTAATTCATTACTTGTATCAATTGTGACGGAATACTGCGATGATATTGATCGACATTATCAAAATTTGACAATGTTATTCGAATATTGTTTAATTTTTAATTATAAATTCTAAGTTAAATAAAATTATTATTTAAAAAATTGATTCAAATATTAAAAACGAGGCCTGGAATAATTTTATTCAAGTATTGATAGAATATTTCGTAATTAAATAATAAATAGAATATTTATTAAACGAATCTTTTTGATAAATATTATTTTTTTTAGTACGATATGTTAACAATTTTATCTTCTTTAATGTAACAATACGAGAAATAAAAAAAATTAAAATAACAGATGGAACATAGATGTTCGAAAGAAAAAAAAGACCGATATATCGTGCCGTGAAAATTTATTGTTAGTGATACGTATCGTAAAAAATACTGTACTGTTTGCAATTTTATTTAAAATTTAAACAAAAAGCCAATAAAATCATGTTCTATAAATTTTTAACCGTATCACGATTCATAACCAATTCATGACCAATATTTTATAAGCAAACCTTCAAACTTAAAAAATTACACGTATAGATATTCTATATGTAAATAATTAAAAATAAAATATATTTTCGAGATTTAAAAATATGAAAACATTCTAAAATCTTTTCAAAATTATTAATATTAAACCTATTATTATTTTTTATTTATTTAATTCAAAACGAATAATTAATGAAAGATTAATATAAATAACAAATTTAAAGATCGAACGATTTTCGCGATTTCGATACAGATTATTATTATCAATCAGATCGAAGTTCTGGTAATTTCTCAAACCGCGTATATCTAATTGTACGTAGCGAATAAAATTAATTTTCAATCGTATCTCGTATCGTATCTCTACGATTTATCACATTTAATCCGAAATTACGCTTATTAATTAACAATAATATTTAAATAAATACATGCATACAACACCAAAATATGACCAAAAATTTAATTAACGATATATCTAGAAGAGATTAATAAAACAATTTTCTTTTTATTGAAAAACGATATTATTGAAATTACTTCATAAATATTTTATTCGTTAAATAACATATTTATACCAAATATTCCACGAAAACATTTTTCATATCCTCGTTAGTCAAATTATTTTCTAAAATCTATTTTCTCGTGAAATTTTAATTATCCAAACAACGAATGTTACAGTTTGAAAATGATCGTCTTTAAAATTACTTTTTAAACCTAATCATTAGAGAGTGATTAAAAAGTTCTTCAAAATATAGTGCAAGGTGATTATACGTGTTATCGGGAATTAGGGTATATAAGTTAGAATGGGGAAAGGTAAAACGCAGTTATCCCTAATCATTATAATTATCCTCATAAATAAGAATGTTTCTTGGGTATACTTCTGTTTTTCCTCGCCATATCGTACTCCCTCTATTATCTAAATTTCATCTTAACTTTCCCCTTAGGAAGCTAGGGAAGTGTTTGTCCGGAAACTTCAGCACGCTATATTGCGCTAAAGAATATTTCTTGGAATAAAAATAAAAATAAAAATCACACAATGTTTCGTCTTCCATTTTATTAATTTTCTTCTTGATAAAATATATCTCGAAAAAATTACAATATGTATGTATATGTGTACTTAGAACAGTACAAAATTGCGAAAATACAAAAATAATTTTGTATAAACCAATCTATGTAAATGAATATCTAATTTTTGCAATCCTATTATTGCTATAAACTGAATTTATTCAATTTAATTTTGCTTTTAGAATGTGAAACGTATGTAATTATATTAAATATTTTATAATTGAAATAATTGATGTAATGTTAAAGAATTCTAGCAAAACAAGTTTTATCTAATTTTGATGACGAGTTCATAGTTTGATGAATTTTAATTGTATAATAATATA